TGAGCGTGGTGCTGACAACCCCAAGTCAAGGGTTAAAACCCCCTTACCGGTCATTTTTTAAAAAAAAAAAAAAAAAAAAAAAGAATCATTGGGGAGCTTTTTGAAAAGATCAGTATGTCTGGGGCCCAAGAGTTTGAATTTCTAAAAAGCTCCCTAGTTGATCCTGGATTGGAATCCGCTCATCCATGGACTTCTCTTTTCAAGGGAACTTGGGTACTCCAAGAGGAAAGTGTGGGTTCCATTTGGCTTTGTTGTCCTTTCTGAACAGCTGTTCCTTGGGTTCACCTTGGGGATCTGCCCAAACCCAAACTCCGTAGAGAAATCAGTGTGTTGCTCCTTTAGGTTGGCTGATGTTTCTGCATTTGTCTCCTAATGAACTCTTGCTGGGAGCTCAGGTCTTAAAAGTGTGTGGCTGCTGAAACAGCTTTTTTGTGGTAGGTTCTGCACTGGATACTCCACTTACCGGCACAAATGAAATTTTTATCAGATGGGGGTTGGGGGGAAGGCTGGATTGAAGCTGTGGGTAATGACAGGATAGATTGCTAATTTTCTTGTGGTTCATCTTGCCTTTGTTCCATATTGACCAAGACTTGGTCTAAGATTCTGGAGAAGCCAAGTAGGAGGTGTGGCGTGAAATTAGCTGTTATGTCTAATAGATTAGGAAGAGGAAAAGGCATATAACATTATATGGTTTTTTGCCTTTGGAAGCAGAATTTAATGGTCATTGGCTGCTCTGTCACCAGCCCTCACACTAAGCACAATACAGATTTCTGCTGCAGAGCAAATTGGGCTGTAGCTCTGCAAAGAAGCGTAGCTCAGGGCACTGGAGAATTACATTTTTTGGTCCGAGGGCTTTTTCTGACGAATTGGAGAAGAGCTAGGTATTTGTGTATAAATGTTTGATTGACTATTGTTTGGAGGCAGCATGTTTAGAGAATGTGAAAGTCTAGATTCCATTTAGAACTCCAGCATCAGCTTTTGAGATGAAGGCCAAATCTGTCTTCATGCTTCCCTTTTTTTTCCCCCTCTGTAAAATGGAGAGTGATGACTGTCTTGTTCATGTCCTTATAGGAGTAGATTGTAGACAAGAGAAATCTAGGTATATTTTGTGCTTTTTGGAAGAGAAGTAATAAGACAGAACTAGTAAATTTTTTCTATGCTTACGATTTGATGCTGCTTGCTAGCTTTTCCACAGCTTACTATGTGCCAGTCTTGTTGGCAGCCTTGCAGCTGTGCGAAACTTGGTAAGTCTGGCCAGGATAGTTGTGATTTCTGTGGAACTGCACTTCCTAAGTAAGTCCACCCTGTTGCGAGGAAGGATGAGTTTGGATTTTTAATGTGTTCTCTTGTTAAGATTGGTAGGACCTGGAAGCGAGAAATTCAGTCTTTTGCCAAGGGGTATATGCCTTCTTCCTCATTGTTGGTTGGACTTAATTATGGGCCTCTTCAGCCTTTACTGTATAATTTGGGGTTTTTACAGTAACCTCTGGGCATAATTCTCTTTGCTGTTTCCAACATCTACCTTTTCCTCAGCTATCGACTGGAAAATACTTCCTACAATCATTTTATAAGGTTTAACAGTTCCCATGTTTAACACTAAGCAAAACTTTACTTCCTGTCAGATGCTTTTGAATCTGCTAATTGGACCTTCCTGGATATACTGAGTCTTAAGTTTAGTGTGAGTTAGCTTATAGAAGAACTCTTCTTTAAGTGAAGTAAGAAATGGGCCCCTATACTAATCAGGTTTCTGTTCTGGGGAACTGGTTTAGTTAACACACATATGTTGGAATTCAAAGATCTGGGCTCAATGCCTGTGGGTCTCGGTGTAATATAGAATTGCTATTTCAGGAAAACCAGTGGAGTTCCCTTGTCTGTTTCACATATGTTGAGCTGATTGTCTTCTGAATTGGTGAGAGATAGCATTTGATTTGACCTTTTTGAGTCATCACATAATACACACTTGGTTGAAGATGGGTACCTTGTTTACTTTTCAAGATTCACATTTACCAAGTTAACAATTGAGGCAATTACTGGTAGTCTTTATAGTTGCAAGGTTGAGAAATGGAGAACAGTTCTGTAGTGGTTTTCAATCTATTTGTTTGGGGAAAAAGATCCAATTCTGGAAAGAGAGGCAGGCTGTCTTGGCATCAGTTTGGGGCCCTGCTGTCCATGGACAGAGCTGGCAGTTATGAGAAACCTTTTTCACCATTTCCTTGGGTCTTCAGGTCTTAAGGGGTCTTTTTGAGTTATAGCATGACATGCTGAGAGCAAAACAATTTTATGGTGTGGTGAGCACATTCTGATTTTATGTTTGGGTTTTGGGTCCACACTTTGTTGATCTTTTTAACTATTTTTCCATGAAACAGTTGTGGTTGGCAGCTCTTTTTTAGAATGAGCTCTCTGGCTTTAGAAATCTGTATCTGTCCATTTGAGTCTTGTGCCTTGTCACTCCTTAACATTCTTCCTGCCAACATCATGCCTAAAGTTTTATTTATTTATTATTTTTTAAAAAGATGACCAGTAAGGGGATCTTAACCCTTGACTTGGTTTGTCAGCACCACGCTCACCCAGTGAGCTCACCGGCCATCCCTGTATGGGATCCGAACCCATGGCCCTGGTGTTATCAGCACCACACTCTCCTGAGTGAGCCACAGGCCGGCCCATGCCTAAGGTTTTAGACCTTGGACTATGCCTCTTGGCTTTTCCCTGGAAGTTCCCTCCATAGGTTCTTTAGTTGGTTTATGATGAAGTTTTGGATCTGACCTTGCTGCACAGATGTCTGTGTATTGGAACTAAAAATGAGCACATGGTTTTTGTGCCTGCAGCTCATGAGCAGACACTGGCTTATGATGTGTTGGAAATGGCACAGGCTGGCTGACTTGGCACTGTGTTTTAGCAGGGACAGAGGTACATTGGGGCCATAAAACCTGGTATTTGGACATCCTAGTTTGGAAGTTACTTTAGAAAAGGACATATGTAAGTCTTAGGGCATCAGTAGAGGAAACTTATGGTTAAGAGAGGGAGGGCATTACTGCTTCATTGTATATATTTTAGGTTTTAAGGAATTTGAAATCTGGCCAGTGGTTATATCTGTGTGTTATCCTGTCTGGTCTAATGCTTTTAACTCCTTTTATCCCATAAATCTGTTGCAGTACAATTAGTAATTTGCAGTGTGAAAATGGACAGAGGCATTCTGTCTCTTTGTTACCTACAGCACAGGCAGTGACATAGCTGACACAGAGGACTGCGAGCAGCAAAGAAGACCTTTGCTTGAGGCCTTCTGCCCCTGTCCTGTTCTGTCACCCAAGGCATAGCCCACCAAATCCTACCCGACCCTACTCCTCAAGTCTTTCTGCTGCTAAGATGCAAGTGGCCCACTGGCAAAATTATGGTGGCATAACTTTGCACCCTAATGCTGGGGAGGAATAAATAGCATAGGGTTAGTTAAAATGTTATCTGGAGTCTGTAAAACAGCACATCAGCTTATAATGGCTTTTATCATTCTCAAAATTTCATATATATACAAAAGGGGATGTATAAAGTGTATTACTTGAATAATAGTGAAATACAGTACATATCTAGGTACCCATCACTAAGCTTAGCAAATAGAAAGTTACCAGTACCTTTGAAGATTCGTTGATTCCTGATTACATCTTGCCCCTATGCCAGGTAACCCCCATCCTCAATTTTATGTTAATTATTCACTTGCTCTAGGTACCCATCACTAAGCTTAGCAAATAGAAAGTTACCAGTACCTTTGAAGATTCGTTGCTTCCTGATTACATCTTGCCCCTATGCCAGGTAACCCCCTTCCTCAATTTTATGTTAATTATTCACTTGCTTTTTTTTTTTTTTAACAGTCATCTAGATTGGTCTTTTCATGAATGACTGCCATTAGGATGCTGTCAGGATCCTTGAGGCAGAAACTGCTTTGGGTTTTTAGTTAGGCAGTGTCTACCCTCAGAGGGAAAGAAGCACATACATTTATTAATAGCCTTTCAGCCTCTTAGACCTTTTACCTCTTGAGCTTCCAGCCATGAGGCCTCCTTGTTTGCCAGGAAAAACCATCTTGGTGCTCTCAACTGGCTCTGCCTGGGTTTAGATTCAGATGTTTTTCTTTTTCTAGATCCTAGAAACTATGATTTTCTTCTTCAGTATGCCAGGGGCGGGGGAGAAGATGAGCTGAAGTGAGAAGGCCTCCGCAAGATGTGTGCATTTGGGTACTGCCGTTCTTCAGTGCCTGGCACGGAAGAGACTCGTCCCCAGCATGGGCAGATGGCAGAGTAATGCAGCTTCCTTTGAAAAGAGGCAAACGGCCAAATGGCTGAGGTGTGAACCTTTTGAAAGGCCAGTGCTTTAGGTTTCTACTTGCTGAGTTTAATGTTGTACCCACAAGTTATCAAATAAAAATCAGCTTGGAAGCTCTTCAGCAGTCTTAAAGTCCATGTCCAGTAGAATTAACTTTCCATTCCAGCCCTCTGGATTGTTGGAATTAAGCTGCAGACAGTAATGAGCAACTTTTATTCATAGAGGGACTGTGTGTGGTTGCGTCTTGTTTTTAATGTAGCCGCCTCTCCTGTGTGTGCTGTGGGTGGGGTCTTCACAGTGTGCATCATCATTAGAGCCCTCAAGTCTCAGCATGGAAGAGGCTGCAGAGTGAGTGTGAAGATAGGGCAGGAGAAGGAAGTGACCAGTGTCTCAGCTCTGAGTAAGGTTTTTGTGGATGGTTTTGGAATTTTGTTTGAAGTAAATTCTGAGAAGCTCAGACATCTGAGTTAAAACATAAATGCATAAACATCTTCTGAACTCAAATCATTTAAAATAGGATTTCATTTTGGATTTTCTTTGCTTTCCCTCCCCTCTGCTGGTGCAGTTGATGATTGAAAAGAGTTTATGTTCTGTTTAGCCATTTGGGTGAGAGTATTTTTGGAAGGTGAGCCGGCTATGATGCCTGGAGTCAGGTACTCAATTCTGCGGTGGGATTTTTTTTTAAATCTAGTTTATTGAGGGTTAGGGTTTTAAGGTGTCTGGTTTTATTAATTTTGACAAACTTAAAGAACCATCATAACCTCTACTACAACCAGCATATGGCATATTTCCATCACCTCAACAAATTATTTCCCTTGTAGTCAATTCAGTCATCCTGAGGCGATTTTTTTGAGTTTAGCACATTTCTAGCCAGAAAGTCTTTGTTGGAGTCTTTTGGATTTCTTTCATTTCTCACTGAAAAGCTAGTTAAAATTGGTACAGAGTGAGGAAATGTTCGGTGTGTAACCAAAAGGAGATCTGGGTTTTCAGGCTGGTTCCCTGGAGCAGCATCAAGGAGAAGTCATGGGGAGAGCTGTGTGACTGGCAGCTGAGAGGGGAAGGAGTTTCCTCCTGACTGCCAAACCCCTAACCTGAGGAGGCCCACTTGTTAGCTGATGGCTTTAACCTACACCTTGGGGCAATTGTGCAGACATAGGAGGTCTTTGTGGCTGAAGATTGCATGTGCATCCCATAGTGTTGTTCTCAGGGCTGGATATGTTCCCTGGTTCCCTTTGGGACCTCCTACTCTTAGAGGCGGGCCCACAGGGAAAACTGGTGCTCTGAGCTGACACCTGTTCAGGTCAAGAGCTGGGTGTTTTTTGGCTCCCAAATGAAAATCAACTCTGTATCTGACTTCCTTCCTTTGGAAATTGACTTGCTAATTACCACTCAAGGTATTTTACTCTTTTAATGTGCTAGGTATGGAGAGATCCAAAGGGATTTCTAATTGCTTGTTGTAGGCTGGTGAATTCTGTAGGCAAATCTATTTAAGGAATTGCCTTAATTATTTCATTCTTCCTCTTTAAATTTTAGGCTTTATTACAAGAGTGTTGCTGACCATAACTAGGGTTTGCTTTGTTTTTCAGTGCATCTGGAATTGAATGTTGTGTGATTTAAATGCATGTGTGTTCATTTCTCCTCTTTATTCTCCCTGTGTGCTTTCTCACCCTCTAGGAAACCCAGGTTGACAAGAACTCAAAGTGCCTTTTCTCCAGTCTCCTTCAGCCCCCTGTTCACAGGTAAGGGTGATAGATATCTTTCTCTTTCTTCTGACATCTGAAAGCAGGAGTGTTGGGAGACCTGTCAGGAAACACTTGGAGATGCATCACAGAGGGAGCTTCAGTCGTGTCTGTAGTTATTTCCTTCATTGCATGCCCGCTGGGTTTGGGGTGATGCTATTTGTATGGTATGGAATGTGTTCTTGACTTTGGATGCTTTATAGTTGGGGGTCAAGCCTGCTTGTTGGTAATTAGACAGCCCTAGCAGTTATGCAGGGCTTAGTTCAGGGTAATCACATATAAATTAAAAGTAGAAATTACAAATTTATGGGCTCACAGTACATAAAAGACTCTCTAGAAGTCATACAATTTTTCCTGCTTCCAAGGCAGTTCATGGATTATCTAATAAAAATGACCCATGATCATCTTGTCTATTTTTAAGGACTTTGGGCAAAGGGGATTACGTGAGTTCTTGTCTTACCCATTTTAGGGGCTGGCAGTTCTTGCAGCTGTTACGAGTTCTTCATTGTACCTAATTTAAATCTCCTCTTGGAGCAGGGAACACAGTTGCTGAAGCAGGAAGGCTGTTGACTATCTTTTGTGTAATGGGTAACTGCCTTCTCATTTTATGGGGAACTTTTTCAGAGAGGGAGACCTTCTGTTATGTCAGTCATATTTGAAGCTCCTGCTTGAATAAGCTGTAGAAAAGAAAGTCTTTACCACACTGCCTCAAGTCTCAAAAACTGAGGACTCCTCATTGGTTGTGACTGAGAAGCCTTTAAAAAATCCCAATCTCAAACTCCTTTGGATATTGTGTCCCTCAAAAACATGATTGGGAGCCGGCCCCGTGGCACACTCGGGAGAGTGCGGCGCTGAGAGCGCAGCGATGCTCCCGCCACAGGTTCGGATCCTATATAGGACTGGCCGGTGCGCTCACTGGCTGAGCGCGGTGCGGGCGACACCACACCAAGGGTTGCGATCCCCTTACCGGTCACGAAAAAGACAAAAAAAAAAAAAAAACATGATTGGAGGAATTATGATTTGGGAATGGACATTTCCAGGAAGATATTAAGCAGGCCAGTGACACCCCCAACTGGGTAGACTGCCTTGAGCTGTCAGAGTGAGTTAGTACCTGTATAGACATCTGCTATAGTGGGGAAGGAAGTCTCTGTTTTTAGCCCTAGCTCAGTATCAGAGAATCTTATCCTGTGGCAGCATGTCTTTCTACTTCATAACTGTTTCCTCCTTAAAGTGAGGAACTTCAGCATTCATAGCTTCAGGTTCAGGACAGCCTTAGCTCTATTGAATTACATCCTTTATTTAAGTGCTATACCTGAAATCTGGACCTCTGACCTGTCAGGAAACACACCTGTCTGGGCGCATTGCTCTGAGCAGCTAGGCTTTAAGTTACCAAGCTGTGTAATGAGTCCAGCTTCCTACATCTTCCACTGATAACTTTTATTATTTTTTATTTTTTTACTTTTTGATGGCTGGCCGGTATGGGTATCTGATCTCTTGACCTTGGTGTTATAACACGATGTTCTAGCCAGCTGAGCCAACCAGCCATCCTCACTGATGACTTTTAGAAAAGCTTTTCTGCTTAATTAGTGTTCGAGACCTTTGTAAAAAATTGTGTATTTAGATTCTGAAAACTCAACTCCTGGCCTTTCTAAGATATTGGTCAACTTATTTTCTTAGCTGAGAAGCATTAAAATACCAGCTGAGGGGCTAATTCAGCTCTGAATAAGAAAAAGGTATAAGAAATAACATTCTAGGGCCGGCCCGGTGGCGCAGTGCTACGGTGCGCCGCTTGGGAGCACGGCGGTGCTCCCGCCGAGGGTTTGGATCCCACATACAGACCGGTTCCCGCTCACTGGCTGAGCGAGGTGCGGGAGCATCACCGAGGGTTGCGATCCCGTTGCCGGTCCCGGTCCGGTACGGGCGTGACACTGAGGGTTGTGATCCGTTGCCAGACACGAAAAAAGACAAAAAGACAAAAAGAAAAAAAAAAAAAGCCGGTACGGGCGTGACACTGAGGGTTGTGATCCGTTGCCGGACACGAAAAAAGACAAAAAGACAAAAAGAAAAAAAAAAAAGAAAAAGAAATAACATTCTAGGAGCTAAATTAGAGAAATCCTGAGTTCTGACCTGTGGATCAGACCAGCAAAACCCATTCCTGGCCATTAATCTGTGTTAATAAAATATCTTTTCATCCTCTGGTGACTCAAGTGGAGAGGGGTAGATGGGGTTGGGTGGCAAGGAGTAGTGTATTATGGCAAGGATAGAACTGTAGGACATGCTGGGAAGTAAAGAGAAACCATATTCCCCACCTCCACTCCCCCAGCTCCTATTGAGAAGCTTCCTCTAAGCTTACCCGACTTTTGGCTGACTGTGTGTAGTGGATTGAAGCGACAGGAACAGACTAATACACTGTGGAAGTAGTTAATTTTTTTTTGGCAGCTGGCCAGTATGGGGATCCAAAACCTCAACCTTGGTGTTATTCTGTGCTCTAACTGGCTGAGCTAAAATTTGGCCAACCCAAATTTTAGGGTTGTAAATGTACTCTTAGCCTTTGCAGCCTCAGTTATTAGGAACTAACTGATATCTTAAATGATAAATTCTCTTATGGATGAATACTGTGGAAAATCTAGATGTGGAAAGCCATCCAGGAAGAAGTGGGGGCTAATGTTGGGACCTTTATCTGCATTCAGCTTACGTGTAGTTCTTACATTTTTTCCAGCACTTGCTTTTACTGTGTCTGTCTGGGCTTATAATAAGCCACTTGCCTTATTCCCTAAGGCAGAAATTGGTATACAAATCTGTAATGATAAATGATGTAGGTTCCATTTGATAAAGAAGCCCCTTTTTTCAGGGTTAGATAGTAAGTCAGTGGCAGAACCAGAATTAGATGGCTTTTTCACTGTCAGTCCTATGTTTTTGTTCCAAAGAATCCTTGACCCTTAACAGGGCAAAGGTATGATAAAATTTTGAATTGACTGGTGTTTAGGGGTGAGTCCAGCTTGGGAGCATTAGATGTTGAGCTTTTTGGCAGCCATGAACCTCTGTCTTGTTTGCTTGCCCTTTGCTTCCCTTTGCTTTTGGCCTCAGCTTTGGGCAAAGTGCTTCTGTAACATGCTTGCTCCGTGAATCCCTCAGGTGAAACAGTGTCGCTTGTGGACGTGGACATTTCTCAGCGGGGCCTGACCTCTCCACACCCTCCAACTCCCCCTCCTCCTCCGAGAAGAAGCCTCAGCCTCCTAGGTATAGTTTATTCCCTTCTCTGCCTTCTTGCCCTAGCAGGAGGGTGAGCTCTAGGGACTTGTTCTTTGCCAGGAGCCAACGAGCTTTTGGGCTCCTAATGATGACTCAATTTATTTCCTGTCCCTTTCTCAGCACCCCTGTCATCTCACTAAGTGGTTAAATGGGTCTCTTACCTGCATGTTATGATATATTAATTAGATTTACATTTATCGTGCCCTGAATGTACTGCAATCGGGCTGCTTTAGGAATATCCTTACTCTCTGGATTTCCAAGCAGAGCAAGCCAGATTAAGATGATTGTTGCAGGGCCGGCCTGGCGGCGCACTGGATAGTGCGCCGCTTGGGAAGCGCGGCGGCGCTCCCGTCCGAGGGTTCGGATCCCACACACGGACCAGTTCCCGCTCACTGGCTGAGCGGGGCGCGGGAGCAACACCGAGGGTTGCAATCCCGTTGCCGGTCCCCGGTCCGGTACGGGGGCAACACTGAGGGTTGCGATCCGTTGCCGGACACGGAAAAAAGACAAA